ATCACAACAAGCTCACCGGGTGCATCTAAGCCAGATGTGGCCTCGCCACTGGTCAGCCCTGGCAGCACGTGGCAGAGTGCGCTGTGCTGGGAGATGCAGGAAGGGAAAGTTGTGAAAATCACGTAAGCACCGATTTTGCTGTCGCTCACAGCTTAGTTTGGAAGCATTCCTCCAAGGAAGCAGCAACCTGTTACAGATCTGTACTTACAAGGGGGCAGCCCTATGCAGGACGTGGTAAAACAGCATTGCTGCGTAAATGCAGAGAGCTGGCGCCCATGGAGCCGGTGCCTCCCATCCCTGTGGGGACATCTGTGTGCTGCATTGTGTTTGTAAAGCATCTCTGGCTGGGAACGTGGGAGGATGCCCAGGTGCCCCCACGTCCAGCAGTATCCTCCTGGCCTCCCCGCCGTGCTTCTGCTTTTGGTTTTGCATCGATGCAGCTCAGATGCTTGCAGCCACGCCAAGGTGGGGCCATGCAGAACAGCCACCCCCGTGGCACAGGCGTTGTGCTGCCGTCCCCCGGCGTTAATCAGGTTACAGTGAGGTGTGGGAGTGTCCTGTTATTAAATTTAAAACCTCACCATGTGAGATGAAGGCAGCTTTAATGAGATGAAAAGGCTTAACTAGAGTCCAATTTAATTCAGTAGTACCTGTTTACACGACCTGCTTAAGTCCTGACCTGCACACTAGTTTATTTCCTCCATGCCAAATAATAAATAGCAGATGGGTAGGTACCAGCTCGCAGCTCTGTGCTCACCACCTCTGCGTGCACCAGAGGCTGTGCTCATGCCAGGGCTTACAGAGGGCACACTGAGAACATGCCAGTGGAGCGTCTGCAAATGTGAGTTGCTCCTGTATCCTAAGTTCTTGGCCACTGCTGCAAACCTTGCCTTGCAGATCCTGCTCTGCTGTGCTCCCAGCCCAGGTCTGAGCAGCCCCACAGCCGTCAGCCTGGGTGGTGCCGCAGGGAGGATGCTGATCGCAGGTTGAATCTGCCGGGGGGGGCAGGAAACCGCCGCAGCCGGCGGGCGCCGGGAGGGGCTCACATAGCACCCGCTCCTGCCAAGCCCTCGAGCCCAGCACGGAGCTCAGCTCCACGTTCAGGAACATAAATGAAACCCCGGTCCTCGTCCCGGCAGGACGCGTCCCCGGCATCCCTGTTCTGGCGTGGAAGAGTGGAGCTGGGCCAGCAAGGGGCAGCGGGTCGCTGGGTGTCCCCACACTGCAGTGACGCTGGAGTGGCATGAAGCAGCTCGGGGCACTGGGGTGGGAGAGTGAGGGTACGCGGCGTGGCTGTGCCACCTCCCTGCCCTTCCGCTATTAAACGCAATTAATAGAGTTGAATAACCTGGCTTCTTCCAAAGGATTAGGTTAAGAAAATAAGACTGTTTTAATAGCCCTTTTACATCCCAGATAGATTTTAGCTGAAAAAACTAACCAAGATTTAAAGCCTCCTGCCCCTAGGCTTCGTATTGCTGCATTAACGCACATGAATTTCATGCGCTGCCTGCGATTACGCTCCGCTTTCGGAAGAGCCGTTTCCTGCCTTCACTTCCCACATGGCTGCACAAGATGTACGCGCTGTCCGGCCGGAGCCGTCCTCCCGGCATCCCACTGCACCTCGCACTGCCTGCGGGTGGGAGGCACCATGGCAGGGCACCCAGTGTGCTGCCAGCAGTGGTGGCCGTCACCTCCCCGTCGCCGCTGTGTCCCCAGGGTGGGGAGATCTGGCAGCGCATCCCGGCAGAGGTGCTGCTGGCTTTGGCTGCGCAGCGCATCGCTCTTTTTCTCTGCTTCTTCCCCCTGTAGCCCGATGTTGGTGGGCTGCCGTGAGTGGACTCTTACGGATAATTTAAGTATCCAGCTCCTGGCTGTGTTGTTTTGTCCAATTTCTATTGCCTTCTGACCTACATCATTCTTTATTTGCAAAGCTATACTTGCAGGCAGCAGTAATAAATCAATTAATGACTCTGATGAATCATTTAATGGCTGACAAAATAACACTGCAGTCAACAGCTTGGATCTCTACAGCAGTACCAGAAGATGCTGGTTGACTCAGGGTAGGGAGACGAAACAGAGACTGTTAGCTCAATTAGTGCAATTAGTGCACGATTTAAAGGCTTAGACGGCATCTGCTGGCGTACCGAGTTGCTGTGTTAACCGAGCGCCGAGATTTGGGAGCGAAACGTGGAGATCTAGATTGTCATCACACCAAAAAAGGGGAAAAAATCCGATGTAGGTAGGAAATATGTATATATGTATGCGTGTATCTATAGATGCGTGCCCTAGGAACTGCGTTTTCTTTCCAGCACAGAGCAAATTAACCATCTAATAAAATGTGAATGTGCAGGCATGCTGGCCCCCCTGTGCCGAGGTGAATTAGCTCGATCCCTTTCCAGCCAAATGGCAGCACTAAGCCCAGCCCTGGAGCAGGGATGGGCTTGGACTCTCCCAGGCATTGAATCCATGGTTTGGTTTTGCTCCTCAGGGTCCCATTTCTTGCAGATGTTTGGTTTGGTGGAAGGGAGCAGAGTTCTGCGGGTGAATGGGAGAAGCCTATATGAAAGTTTCTTAGCTAAAGCAGTAAAAGTAATCCAAGAGGGTATGAAGGGATCTTCAGGAATTAGATGCTGAAGGGTTCCGTGAGTTTGTGGTGTATGCCTTTGGGTTTGGGGCATACACCCTTGAATTTGGGCATGCACCTTCGGGCTTGGGGCGAGCACCTTGGATTTGGGGCACGTACCCTTTGGGTTTGGGGTGAGCAGCTTGGGTGTGGGGTGTGCACCCTTGGGCTTGGGGAAAGCAGCGTTGGGTTCAGGCATTTTGTTCCTGGTGCTCCCAATTGCCACCTTTTCCCTCTTCCTGGGCACAGTCCAGGGCTTTTGCAGCACTGCTCCAGCACGACGAAAGGTGCCTCGGTGTTTACCTTAGTGGTGGTGATAGGGAGGGGAATAAAAAGAAATAAAATGTCACTTCGCAGCCTTGTAAATCATTCATCAAGGGCTGACCAATTTGGCTCCCATCCTACAATATGCTCAGGGCACTTGTGGGTTTTTAATTATTGAGCCCTGCCAAGCGCCACATGTGCAAGGCACGTTAAATCCACGTTTACACGGCGAATGCATAGGTGAGATTTCGGGGTGTTTATCGTGGAAAAATATTCTGTGGTTTTGTGGAAAAATGTTCATTTGCTTAAAGATTTTCTTTGGCTGCATCGCCCTCCTCCCCCTGCTCCCTGTTGCAGAGGGAGGAGGAGTGCAGCATACTTCAGTTCATCACAAAGGCATAAAAGCTGTGTTTGTTTTATTAGACCCAGGCACTCTTCGTACCCAAACCAGGCTTCCTGGTGGTTCTGTTGGCCAGGTTCTGGGCCTGCTGTTGCCTTCATTGTGCAGTGCCAACCCTGCACCTCACCGGTGACATCCCCATGGTCCCCTTGCTCCTTGGGATCTGCCTTGCTGCAGGAGATTCCCCAGCAAGAGATTATGGTGTGCTGGAAATCTCTTGAAACCATAAAATATCACCTTGGCAGCTTTATTGCGCCGCTCGCCGCCTTTGGAGAGCAGCGTTTTGCGTGATAGAGGGTTTAATAAAGGAAATTCCAAATGGGCTCGCTGCAGTTGGGGGCTTGGTCTTATATATTTTTGCATTAAGAACATTCATCTGCTTTGCAGAGAAACTGCAATATGTTCATGGCCTTGGATTAAGATTTGGTTTTACTTTTATAGCTGACCCACTTGGGGGGATGGAAGGGGGGAGAAATGGGTTCACTCCCTCTTCTTTCTATTTTTGCTGCCGTCTGAAGTATAAAAAGAGCCTGGAATGGGTAGACTTATTTTTCCTGCCAGGACTTCTTTTTATTAACTGTAAAAACACTCAGATCTGGCCTTCACTGGTTTTGCAGGAAGGCTGCTTGGGATGCCCTGCTCTCCTCGCCCCGCGGTGGGGTGCAGGATGGGGGGCACAGGCAGGGGTCAGTTCTTACAGACAGGCTCCTTGTTTGGAGAGCCAGCCCATGCTGTTCTGAAGGATGCTCACAGCTCTCAGGTGCAGGGTGGGCACAGCAGAAGCTGGTGCATGTGGTTTTGTCCATCCCACCTGGGTTATGGTGGGCGAATGGAGCTGTCCCCACTGTTGGTGGGACACGGTGTCTGGTGGGGTCACCCTGCCCAAGCTCTGGGTTTAGAATAACATGGAGCAATCCCTGCCCATGGGATTTCCTTGAGGTGCCGTTGGGATGAGCAGAGGAAGGGGTGCTAGCTCTGTTGCATAGCTTTGGGTATGAAGTCCATCGTAAAACCTAGAGGAGGGGCTGGTATAGTGATCGAGCAGACTCAAACCAGTTAACATCACCAAAGCTCATTTATAACCTCCCCAGAAATGGAGGGATTAATTTTCAAAAGGCAAACAGTAGTGTGACTGTCAGGGAAAAGAGTCGAGTTGTTTGTTCTATTCCTTAGGATGATTACTGACCCAGTAGAGACATTTTGCCATCAGCAATTTTTAGGCAAGGTCCATTTCTTCCCCCTTCCCACCCGGGCACAGCCCTGCACCGCGCCGATGTTTCCTCGGCGCCACGGCCACATGCCCCCAGTGCCATGCAGGTGCCCTTTGTTCCATGGCCAGCCCTGCTGCTGGTCCCCCTGCCAGAACACTGCCTTCGTCCATCGGCCTGCGTTGCGGGCGGGAAGTAAATATTAATCCAGTTGCTAAGCAGGGCTGTCTGGGTAACCCGCAGCTGGCCCCTTCCTTTTTTTGTGGCAAAGCCTCTCGTGCCCTCGCTGGGGCTTGCAGCAGGGATGCACAAGCCGCAGGTTGGGTGCGATTTTATAACAAAAACCCCTGGTTGTAGTATTGGGGAGTGTTTTCTTTGTGGTGCAGAATTGAAGCAGCGAGTGGACAGGGGGAGGTGGGCGAAGAGAAGTGATTGAAAAGCCTTGACACAGCTCCTGAACTCCAACTCGAACCCAACGTGTTTGTCCTGGTTTTGTTCCCTGCAGAGCGCAGCTGCCGCCCCGAGTCCCGTGCTTGGAAACATTCCCCCGAACGACGGGATGCCCGGGGGCCCCATCCCACCAGGTTTCTTCCAGGTAGGCTGCTGCTCCTCCCGGCACCCGCGTCCATGGGGCGTCCATGGATGCACGAGCCGCTCGCGCCTTGCCGTCAGCACCGTGCGTTTGTCCCCACGGGGAGCCTCGCAAAGCCCTGTGCTGTAGATGACCTGTTTGTGAATACCCAGTGCCCCGCTCTCCTTCCACATTTACATTCTGGGTTTTGCGTGGCCCTAAGCGAATTTATCTTGCTCGAAGAGGTTACTGTATATTTGCAATTGATGTTTTTCCAAAGCTGCTTGTTTTGTGTTTGAGTTGAGATTGTATTTGTTCTTTGGTCTTAACAGACGTGCGTAATTGAAAACATTCTGGATTTTGATTCCTGAAACTTTTTCCCCCTCTGGTTAACCACTTGATTTTTTCCAAATGCAATCACCGAAAGCATTAACAAATGCTGGCGGGGGCCGTGGCTGCAGGCAGAAGCGGATTCGATCCAAGTGCAAGGCCCCAAATGCCATGGAGGCACCTTGTAAGCCAATACCTAGCAAAGTCCCCAGAGTTCTCTTGTGCATTCCTTCTCCCACGCTGAGCTCAGGTAGAAGACAGGGTAACATATGACTGGATGATGCTAATGGAAGGGTTTCCAACTGGCACTTAGAAGTCAAAGCGTTAAGTGTGGGGCTTTTTTTTTTAATGTCTTTGGAATCTCTTTGTATGTCACGATACGCAGTGGTTCGTAGCACCGTAAGCTCATGGTGCATTTAAGATCTTCCTTCTTGAGGAATAAGCACTTGTCTGTGTAACAAATGGGATAACAGTTGAAAGGGATATTTGTTTTGGCAAGCTGCTTTTTTTATCTGGGTTTGTGATTTGTATATGGGAGAAATTCTTGGGCAGTAGACAGGCAAACTTGATAAAGTGCTTGTGATTTATGGGAGCGGTATCAGCGTGGTATCACAACTTGTGTGCGTGGAGCTGGAGAAGGGGGAAGGAGGGCTGCTGCTTTTTTTAGAGAGATCCCATTTCCTGAACTTGCGTATGACAAAATAAAGAGTATCCGATATTGAGTGCTAACCCTAAAACAGGGTAATCTTGTAGCAGTGCTCTGTGACACGGGATGAAGCGAGCAGAAGAGATGTTATCTCGCAGGTCATAGCTGCTGCCAGCAATTCAAGTGCCAAGTCGCTACTTCCAACAAATGTGTTTCCAAAAGTCCTGATCTCATCCCGTTGCAAAGATGACTGTCCTCTCAAGCTCCCACTTCACACAGATCTGCGAGGGTTACAGAATTGGCAAGAAGTTAGGGCACGGCTTCAAAAGCCTGGGTTGGATTTCACCAAGAGGAGAAGGTGAGGGAGAGGAGCTGTGATGCCCCAGCTCATGCTCGGGTCTTGACATTTTCCCACTGACAGCTTCCGAGGCCTCCCCCCGCTTTCCTTTTTGGCTCTTCATAGTGTTTTGGCACAGAGGGTCTGCTCAAAGTGCAGACAGCCCATCCCAGATCTCCACTTTGGTGCATCTGGACCAGGAGCTGGGCTGCCTTTGCGATGGGGGCTCAAAAGCAGCTCCTCTTTCTAAGGAACTTTGCTGGGGGCTTCCTGAAAACCCTACAGAAATAGCAGCAGACCATGCGTGGAGCTGCTACCCACCCCCAGAGCTTGGGGAAGAGAGGGAGGGAGCGTGGTCGCTGCTCTGGGATTAGGTGCGGAGGAGGTTTGGGTGCCGACGCATATGGATCACATGTGACGTCTCGAGAGACTGCCTTTCCTGAAAGCCTTCCAACATCTGGTTTCTCCTCCCAGCCTTGGAAAAAGAGAGGAGGAGGGGAGAAGAAAAATCCCACCTTTTAACACAGGCAGAACATCACCCCCATGAAAATCCGTCTGATTTATTGCGGGTGCTTGGCTCGTTCCAGCTTCAAGACGTGCTCGAGACGAGCTCTTGCAGAGGTGGGCTGGAGGCTCTGCATCGAGCTGTTTGCAGCTCAGGGTTAATTTCTTATCTCTGGAGGAAATTAAAGCACTGAACTTAAGAGAGTGAAACCAAAAAGGTCACAGGAGATGCAGAGGACTGAAACAGTTACAGTGGTTCTCCCCAACCCTTTACGTGCCAACCTCAGGAGCCAGGTGAGATCTCCATCTGGTCAGCCCATCTCCTGCAAGGGAAAAATGGAGGTTGGAGGGAATGTGAGCATCGGGGAGCATCAGCATCTTGCTCCAGCAGTGCAGAGCTGGCAGTGCAGAGCTTCCTGCACCCTTCTGCACCATACTGCAGGCACCAGGGACTTGGAGGGCTCAGGTTGCCTAAGGACAGCAGGCACAGAATGCTTCTGGAGGTCCTAGTGCAGGGACAGATCGTGTCCTGGCATCGTGGTGGCAACCAGCCAGGAGCTGAGATGGCAGTTGCGGCAAACCAGCCTGTTCCAGTGCTGGCTGCAGAAACCCTGCACTGCTTCCCCAGGGTGCAAGGACCCCTACAGCCCCACGAGTGAAGGTGGCAAAGTGAAAAAACATGAGAGGCAGCTCTCGGGAGCTGATGGCCCAGAAAAACACAAGCATGAGCTTGGGGGAGCAGAGACAAGAGGAGAGGAGTCTGTCTGCAGCACCCGGCTCGCAGGCAGAGCCTTCCCTGCGCTGCAGCTCAGCAGCGACCTTTAGGCTCAAGGCCAAGGGAAATGCAGCCCTCGGCGTCTCCTGAAGCCCGACAGGAAAGGAGAGGCCCTGGGCGCCCTTTGGATGCCTGGGCACCGTGCAGTGCCAGCAGGCTGTGGCGCCTGGCATCGGGCCATGCTCCTGACTAATGGGGGGCCAGTTCGTGGCTAGCGTGGGTAGACTCCTTTATTTAAATCTCGCTCTTTGTCCCTTTAAGATGAGTAAACAAACCCTTCGCTCATCCTCCTAAAGGTCATCGAAATCATTTTTGCTTTTGTTTTGAAAGCTGAATTGATGCCCGTTTGCAGATCCCTCGCGTCAGTCTCCTCTGCTCCAGCACTGGGGAAGGGGAGTGCCAGGGAAATGCACAAGGTAAAATTAAAAATTGCAAGCTATTAGAACAAGACCTTCCTTGTAGTAAATCAGGGGGGCGTAGGACGTGGGGGCTGCTCATCCCAGCCCTCCCCCCCCCCCATGGCCCTGCCTCTCTTCCAAATGCGTGCTCCCTGCCTGGCTCGGTAACGCTGGCTCTGATGAAATGGAAAGTTGCACATAAATCAATGTCTGTGGCCGTGTTAGCTATGCATCAGCAGCTAGCTTGCGAGATGCACCAAAACAAAGCACCGGTCGCTCGCTGTTCCTACACTGCCCCCTAATGCAGAGAAGCCTCGGGAGCCAGGAAGGACAGGGTCTTCCATCCCGGGGGCATCCTTTCTCCCTGCTGGTTGGGAAGAGACCTGCAGTGTTGTGCCTTAGTTTGCTGCTCTCGCCAGGCTCTCTTCCCATGGAGCTTCCCATGGGAAGAGACTGATGGCTGAGCCTCCTGCTGCTAGTGCTGCAAAACCCCACTGGCGTGGGTGGCAGCTGGGCTGACCTAATGCTGTCAGATTTCCCGGGGCTGCTTTTGTAGGGGAAGGCTTCTTCTAGGCAAGAGCTGAAGGAATATGGCTTACAAGAGAGAAGAAATAGCAAGTGTTGGAAAAAGTTTTTTTTTCTTCCCTTTTTTTCTGGAAGTTTAGCAGGATGCCCGAGGCTTTTGTACCGAATGTCTGGAGCATATGGTGGGATTTGCAGTCAACTTTCTCTCGGGTGCTCCATCCAGATGGAGGTGACTGTTCTTGGCTTCGGCTGACATGGGTTTGTTTCCTGAAGAGCTTGTGTTTAACATATTCCTTCAAACCAGAACTCCGTGCTCGGGAGCCCCAGCTGCAGGCAAGGCAGTTTCCTGCCCACGGCTCCCTTCCTGGCTGCTGCCGAGCTTGGCCATGTTGCGGTCTCAGGAAGGTGAATTTGGGCCTTCACCCAGCACCTCATGCCTTTCTGGTATTGCCATTCTCTGCCCTGCAGGCAGGAGGTGACCCTCTGTCCCTGCTTGTTGTCCAGCCCGGTGGGCTCCAGGCACTGTCTACTGTGTGATAAAAACATCTGATGTTGTAGCTGAGGGTTTGGGCTTTGTGGTGGGCTCGGGGGTGTTGCAGGAAGCTCTGAGAGCCCTTCAAGCACCATTTGCACATTGAGTTCCTCCTGCACCCTCAGACTGTGTGGGCTGTGGTGCCGAGAAGATGTTGTTACGAAGCTGGCAGGGCAGGAGAATGTCGAGTTGCTGGTTATTGCTCTTCAGCCTCCTAGAGAGGGCACGGCAGGGCTCTGAAACCTTCCCTAAGGGCTGGGATGGCTGGGTTGGAAGCACCAGGTGCCTGTGGGGCTGGGGGAGCCAGTGGGTGCCCCACGGCGCTGCAGGTGGTCATGGTGCTGCAAGGACGGCAGCTACCAAGGAGCCTGGAGCATCCTCCCTAAAGCTTGACAAGGGATATTTCATTCTTTTGTTTACGTGTCACAAAATTTCCACCTCGTTTTACAAGAATAAAACACCAGATTCCCACCCAGTAAACTCAGGCACTTCTCTAATTAATATCCATTTCATTTATTTTGATATTTTCTGATGTTGAAACCGGCAAGTCAGAGGCAGATACATTTAAATGCAAGATGCCTTCTTCTTGCTAACTCCAAGTTGTTGGTATCTCGTTGCGCTGATGCTTTGCCTTCTTATACCATTCTTCATTGTTCTGCCACCCCCAGAGGTACTTGAGAATGTTTTTAAATGTAAAAACTCCACCATTAGCTGAAAGTATGTAGCCCATAAAACATGATCCATTTGTGGTGAATTACGCTCGGAACATAAATTGACACATGCAGAACTATGATCGCTAGTGCAATTTTCCATGTTTAATATTTTACAAGAAGTTTGAGAAGTTGAGCTTGTGAAAGATGGAGTGGAAATAATCGGATCGTTTGGAAACTCCCGTGGTAAAGCAGCAGCCCTCTGTCATCTGCTAGTCCAGATTTGTCTGTAAGGTCCCTGTAGTAAACAGGGGGAAGAAAATGAAGCAGAGAGGAGGTCAGTGGGCGGGCTGGAACACCTAGCACTGTCAGAAACAATTTCTTCTTACACTGGTTTAAGTGTTGGGTTGGTTGTGGGGTTTTTGAGCCGTGTGGAAGAGTCCCATCCCACATGGCCGTCCAAGCCCTGTCGGTGAGGCCTGCAGAGGCTGTAGGAGCACTGCTTAATGACTGCTAAATATGTGCTTCAAGGAAACGAAGGAGTTGTTGTGTTGATTGGAGCCCACATGTCATATCTGCAAAACATTCGTCTCCAGCACTGCGCTCCATCAGGATCATCTCTGTTTGTAGGGAGGGAAACGCAGTGGGGAAGGGCAGCCATCGGCAGGTTTAGGGGCAGGCCTGGGCCCCGGGACATCTGCAGATGTTTATGGAGATAACTGCATCCAGAGCCCTGCGTTTCTGACTGAGGAGTGCTGGGCCCAGCCACAGGCGGGGGCCTCGCCGGGCCTGGGGCAGGAAGGAGCCGGCGCTTCAGATGTGCTGCTCACTTCAGCACAATGCTCGGAGGGAGAAAATCCACCTCTCCCTCCTCCCCCACCCAGAGGGAATCAGTTGTGAAGTGCCCTAACCCACTTCATCCAGCGGCGGTCCCATGCCGAGCCTCCATTCCCCCCCCAAGAGGGGAAGGGAGAGCGGCACAAAATGGCCGCAGGCCTTCGGCCTCACTCCACCACCTCACGCTGTGCCCCACTGGGGCAGGAGCATCCCAGCAGCAGTGCCCCGAGTGCTGGCTGCCCTGTGGCTCCGAGTGCCAGCCCGCAGAGCCATTGGTGCCAACAGCATGGCTTCATTTCTACAGCCACCAGCGTCCTGTCGCAGTGTTTGGCTGCATGTCCCCACATCACAGTCTGCAAAAAAAAAAAAAAAAAGTAAAAAAGCCCTCTTACTTTATTTACATTGCACTCAAGTTTGCACGGTACAAAAGATTTGCAGGTGCAAATGTGTCCTGCCTTCATTAACTTCCCCTCCCTTTTTAATTTATGTGATTTCAATTTTCCTTCCCTGTACTGTTAATTAGGGGACCCTCTAATCAGTACCATTATCACAGTGGTATTCATGTTTAGGAAAGCTGCTAAACAAATGCTTGCAAAATTGCTAAATGGCTAATTAATGTCTGTTAATTAAGAAAATTGCTCATGGTAACAAACCATGCCATTGCTGGCAGCAGCTAGAAGGCGAACACTTGTTGAAATTAGTAACAAGGCAGGTAGAGAACATCTGCTTTGCGCCTTTCCTGGAGTGTGCAGTCGCTTCGCATAACGCACTTACCGAGCTTATTTGCTTTCTGTACCAATTACACGTCCTTTGACCCAAAAATACCTTTTTTTTTTGCCCTGTGTTAACATGCACCGATACGTCCTTGCACCAAACTCACTGTTCCTTCAAGCAAACTTTCATTTTGTGCTTTAAAGGGAAATATTTAAAAAAAAAAAAAAGTGGGCGTTCAACCCCAAAATGTCAGCAACTGCTGCATTGCAGTGCTCAAAACCTACAGCAACTAATCTTTCCTTTTTTCCTTAGACGTCCTTAGTAGCACTTTACCCGACCACGCAGCGGACCCTGGGGTGGCAAACCCTGGGAGGTGTTTCCAGCCTTCAGGATGTGGGAGGAGAGAGGAGAACATGATTTTTTTGTTGTTGTTTTGGGGTGGTTTTTTTGGTGGTTTTTTTTTTTTGTATTTTCCCCCCAACCTCTCTGACCCCCTCTCCTGCATATTTTTCTTCCTCGTTGCACGCCCTCGCCAAGTGTCTCCCTGTGTGTTTATCATTGCAGACGTGGTTGAACTACTGGACCGTTTACTGTAATGTGGCTGCTGTACTTGGACAGATGTTCTGAATTTTTTTATTTTTGTAATTTTTTTTTTTTTTTGCATCTATCATTATTCGTTGTTCAGTTACAAATGAATAGAAACTCAACTAAAAGGAGAGAAAAAAAAATAATAAAGCATTAAAAACAATTGGCAAACTGCCTTCCCTACAACAACAACAAAAAAAAAAAACAAAACAGCTCCACCCGTGAATCCTTTTTAGCTCTTTCTGCGCTTTCATGTGCTAATCTATAACCTCCTTCTACTGTCTGACCTCACAGGGACCGCCTGGTTCACAGCCCTCGCCACACGCACAGCCTCCACCCCACAACCCTAACAGCATGATGGGACCCCACAGTCAGGTAACGGCACTAGTGATGGGTAGGGCTGTGAATCGGGACGCGCTCTGCGAGCGCGCTGGGAGCGGGAGCCCGCTGCCCCCAGCTCTGCCATGGGGCGCTGCTTTCTCCCCAGTGCTTGGTTGTTTTTGCTGGGTGTGCAGGTGACGGCGGACTGAGAACTCACTCGTGGGTATCAGAGTGGTTTACCTCCCCCAGGCAGCCTGAGGAATGGAGCTGGATGTGGGTTTTTAAGCTTCTGTTGGTAGCAGCAGTTGTAAAAGAGCACCTGAAGTCTTCTTTTTTTCCACACGTAGCGTTGGGGAATTTTTTGTGTGTGTGCGTGTCTGTATGTGCATATTTCCCACTTTTATACATATAGAAACACATACATATATTTAAGCTCAGTATCTAACACTCAGGGTTACCCGTGCACTAATTGTAACAGCCTCACATAGTACAGCCGAAGTATGTCAAACACTCTCAAACAATAAACCTACAGAAAACCTTAAATAAAAACGGACTCCGGACACTTTTTTCTTTTTTTTCTTTTTTCTTTTTCTCTTTTCTTTTTTTTTTTTCCTTTTTCAACTCAACTTTTTGAAAGAAGGATTTCTCCAGAACAAAGTCTATAAGGTCTAACCGGCGTGTGTGGGGCACGAGCTGTCCCCCTGTCGCATGATGCTGACCTGCTTTCTGTGTCATTGCAGCCTTTCATGTCACCGCGCTATGCAGGAGGTCCCCGGCCCCCCATCCGGATGGGAAACCAGGTACTGCTCCCCGACCCTGGGCGGATTTTCCCTGCGATCCCTGCAAATTAAAGCAATGGAGATAATCCCAGCTGCTGTGGGGTCAGGCGGGGCAGGTCGCTCCTGAATTTTGGGGTTGGGTTTATCCTCTTATCTCGGCTTAACCGGCGGCCGTTTGCTGCTGTCCTTGCCAGCTCCCGCTCCACGCGCTGCCAAAACGTGTGGCATCGCCTTGAGGCATTGACATCAGGTCTGTGTGGCAGTAACCTAATCACGGGTTGCTTTTCATTCAAGAGAAATTAAAGGAAGCATGCAATTCCTCAGAGTAGCAAAATAACCTCGGAAAAATTATCTTGGGAGCTTGCTTTTGTTAACACTTCTTACAAGTAACGTTGTTCTAATATAGCTCTTCTTATTAGGAAAAGCACAGGTTGGAACCATAGAATCATTAAGGCTGGAAAAGATCACCAAGCCCAACCCCGACCCACCCCGCCATGCCCACTGACTGCCCCTCAGTGCCACATCCCTGCGGTTCTGGAACGCCTCCAGGGACCTGGAGTGGGTGACCCCCCCACCTGCCTGGGCAGCTGTGCCAGTGCATCCTTCTGAGGAGGCTTTTCCTAATATCCAGTTTTACAATTCCTGGCAGAAGAGCAGCTAGCAAATAGGATGTTGCACCTTTCTTAATGCTGTTGGTTGCTGCATTGGAGGCTTTAGCCACTGGGTCTTCCAGAACACCTCGAGACCAGGCAGGGTGGGAGGTGGCAGCGATGCGGACAGGCGGACGGCTCGGTGCAGCATGTGGCTCTGTGGGTTTTGGTGGAGGCGTTGGGGGAGGCGGAGCTGCTGCTGTTCCCAGCGCTTGTTTTGTTAGGTCCTACCCAAACTGCCACCTAGCAGGGCTGAGACCAACCAGTTGTGGTTTCACGCCACCATGAACTGCACAGATGAGTCCCCCGTGCTGGCAAAGCAGGGACCACAGAGGGTTTGTGCAGCAGTGGGGTTCAGGTCTTCCACATCTCTTAACCTTTGATTTTGACTGTGAGGTTAATTAGAGAGATTTTTTTTTTCCCAAACACTGTGTCTAAATGCAGCTTTGTGCATACCCAGAGCTTGGTGTTGTCACGGTCACATCCAGTGGGACAAGAATAAATAGGAAGGCAGGCAAGTCAGAGAGCAGAAGTCTAAATACTCACAGCCACGACAGCTCTTGTTTGTCTTCCTCCTGCCACTATCTTCCAAGATGTAAAATACTGGGAACGAAAGTCAGCCTGGCTGCTGGGTTGGATGGGGCCTGTGTCTGCATGAGGGGGACCAGTTTCACGGTGGTATTCAAATAAAAGGCAGCTCTACTGCAGAAAGGCTTGCAGTTTGCTTCCCCAAGGCAGATAGTATCTGTGCTTTCTCCCCCTTTATCTGCGCAGAGCAGTGTGGGGAAGGCAGCCTTTGAACTTTAAATAGCCTGTGCTCAGGGGAGGGGGAGCAAGCGCATCTGAAAACATGGGAGTGGGCCCCATGCATGCAGGGATGAACCCAAATGCAGCCTCTTGTAAGCACAGCATTGCCCATCGTGGGCAAATAAATCACTGCAGGCAGCGTGATTTGGCTGTGGTGCTGGGCTGCTGTCATGGCCTGCCAGGATACCTCTGCCCTGCACAGCGTGGGGCTCCTGAAATACTGGTGTCTGAGTCAGGTTCTAGGGTGTATTGGCAAAGGGAAAGAGGAACAGTGCCAGGAGTTGTAGGGATGTGGCATCCAGTGCAATGCAAGGTGGGATGCATCTCTACAAGACAGGAGGGTTTTGGGTCCTGAGCAACCCTTTTCCCCTTGGGAACCGGAGTCCCCTTGGCTCAGATCTCCACACCTAGGCTGCATTTTGGCCACGTGCTGATTTGTGTAATCTCCCCCACCTTGTTTTCCCAGCCTCCGGGGGCCGTTCCTGGTACACAGCCATTGCTGCCCAATTCGATGGATCCCACGCGACAGCAAGGTAAACCTTAAAAATTGTGGTGGTTTGGACATTTCCCCCACCTCGTTAGCTGTTGCTCTGGGGTTCCATCCCACCTAATGTGTCACTTTCCTCCCGGCAGGGCACCCAAACATGGGCGGACCCATGCAAAGGATGAATCCTCCGCGAGGGATGGGCCCCATGGGTCCCGGTCCGCAGGTAACCCAGCAGCACCAAAGAGCATCCACAGCTCTGCCAACACCAACCACTATCTCCACAACCCCCAGGGGCAGGAAAGGCTGGGAGATTTCCCCTCCTGTCCCCCATTAGTGTTAATGCATTTTACATTAGTCTTGCATCTGGAAATCCCTCCTTTTAACGGTAGCGAGGTCTTCAGGGCTGCGTGTCCTCATTAAGGGTATTGCAGCCCCCCTTGCCCTTCAGCTGAAGGGGGATGCCACTTAGCACCGAGCCGTAGCGGTGTTTGAGTGCATTATGCAGCAGGCCTGGGAAACAGTTATGACCCTAACAGCAGGAAAGGGGAAGGATGCCGACATTAAAAATAAATAAATTAAAAAAAAAATAAAATGGAAAGATACCTTTAGTGAGGGAATAACTGTTCCCTTTGCTTGTTTCTCCCCCCCGTGCCCTGATCTGCAGAGCATTTGAGCTCCTTCTTATTTCAGTCATTTCTTAATCAGGTTGGGTTTTTTTTGGAGGGGCAAAGCGAAAGGTTGTGCAGAGGGACTCAGTCGGGAGGAAGGTGTGCTTGGTGGGGCTGATTTCACCTGCAGCTTGGCCACCTGCACCCCAAGGTCCTCATCCTCACTGCCCTCTGTGCTTCAGAGAAGTTGGGTCACCTATTTTTTGGCTTTTTCAAGTGTGTTTCAGAAGCTCCAGACCTTTCACAGGCATTTCAGTACTCCCAAACCTTGAACTCTCAGGACTCCTGAGAGTCCCAGCCGGTGCTGGTTGTCCCCCTGATTTTTCACGTGTGCTCCCAACTGTGCAAACACAACGCAGCTCCCTCTGCTCTCACTTTACCCAACCGCAGCTCAGAAGGATGCTCAAACTTAATCAGAGTTCTTTCTTAGGCTGCAGTAATACCAAATCCTGCTCAGCTACTCCAGAAAGGGGAGGTGGGGTGGGGACAGCCAGCCCAAGCAGGAACAAACTCTTAAATTAAGCAGATCTGGGTTAATATATTCTGCCTTTCTGTTGATTCATTTTCTGAAGTGGATTTGCATGCTGCTCTGTTGACTCACTTCTGTTTGTTCCTTCTAAGAGACTTCAAAAACACATTACCATATTTTGGTTGTAGGTTTATCCTCTCTGCATTGTCGCCTACGTTGGGTTTTTAGCGCGAGGCTCAGAGTCTGTCAGGAGACAAACGTGTGTGTTTGAGTTTTGTTTTGTTTTTCCCCTCGAGACTGTCGAGCGAAAGCGAGTGCAGCGTCAAGGGAGTTGTGTCATTGCCTACCACGAGGAAGGGAGGAGTGCCCGAATCCATGGCTCTGCATCCATTCTAGGGCAGGGGGAGGACACCCCCAAGCAGTATCGCCCGTGCTGTGTTAGCACTGCCGTGGCTGAGGATGCAGGACCTGCTGCTGCACCTGCAGTGCTCCTTTTGTGAGGGATTGCAAAAAAGTTTTGTAAATGGCATTTGCCAGCACGGCCAGCGCCAAGGAAAGCATTGAGCTGCTCGCTTCCCACTTGCTGAGATTGCTGCAAAGCCTGGCAGCGCTGCGTGGGCTGGCGGCAGGTCTGGGAGCCGGGAGGAGCTGTGAAATTCTCAGAGCTTTATTTTTTACTCTGCCGCTCCCTGTGTACGTACATGAGGGAGAGCTTTGCAGAAGCGTGCCCTTCCCTTTTGTGAAGATCAACAGTTGCCTTCCTGACCTGGTGCTCCTTCCCAAAGCTGGGAGCAGCCATCAAAAATACTGACCCAAGATCAGAGCCCTTAGCTCCCCACTTGCCCAGCACTTCTCCTTGTTCTTGTTAAAGCATTGCACCAGAGCCTTCCTAAAATTTACTCCAAATGCCCAGAGAGCACCCAGCCGTGACATCCCAGTGTCCTGACAACTGCTAATTACTGACCAACTCTGAATCACCTCTTACAACCCAGCTCTACTGCTTTTCCCCTCAAGGATCCACACTTCTAACTCTGCATCACATAACTCAGTGCTTCTCTTAAAGTCTCTGCAGCTCGCTGGCTCAGTCAGTGCTTGCCCGGCACACAGGTCGCTCAGCACAGCTGCGTTCCTCCCCACCCTCCTCCAGCATCTTTCAGATGGCTCCCTTTGCCTCCCTTTCAGCTCCAATTAAATACACTGAGGTTTTGGTTTTTTTTTTTTTAAACGAGAGGTTTGATACTGCAATTCAGTGCAAATGGCTGGAATTTGGATCAATTACGTCCTTGCTTGTAATTTGTTTGGGGAAACCCTTGTCTGCTTCCTCCAAACAAACTTCCAACAAAGCAGTGCATAAATCCAGGAAGTATGAACTTAAAATTTAGCTGTGAGTGCTTGGGGAGCTGTGCCCCTCTGCTGCTCTAAATAGCAGAAATGCTGCCAGAACTGATGCATCATGGCATGGTTGACCTGATGGGAGATGCACTGAGATTCATGGGTGCCAGTGGAGCTCTGGGGCTGCGGGCAGCCTGCTCCTGGGGGACACTGCGCCCCAGCAGCCAGAGGGCACTGCAGCTTCTGCCCACCATGATGCCTTCCTCCTCCTCCTCTTCCTCCTTTTCCTCTCCAGCTGCAGGCTGCAGGGCACAGGGACCACAGCATGCCATTTCCTCCCCTGCCTTGCTTAAGAAAGAAAAAAAAGACAAAAACTACAAAGCGGGCGTTTGGGAGCAGGCTTGCAGAGTGGGGGAAGGCAGCGGCTCTGCTCTTGCAGCGCGACCTAAATCAGGCTGTGCATCGCCCAGAGGGCAGCGAGCACAGCACAAATCCAGTGGAGCGCAGCATGCGGGGATTCCTCCTCCTGCAGCACTCTGGGCTGGGCCTTGTGCTGGGGCTGTTGTAACGAGATGAAGGCTTGGGGGGGACCCCAAGGGTTGGGGCTTGGGGTGTTCCTGTGGCTATGGGGTGATGGTGTGGCCATGGGTGCTGAGCAGCTCCTGGGGGATTTTGGCAGAGCCACGCGGCTGCAGAAAAACAAACCCCACTGCTCTGCCCTGCCCTGCTGGGAGCAGACGGCTTTGCATTACTGTGGTTTTGTTTTTTAAGTTGTTATTTTTTACCGTCGTCACCTAATTATCTTCAGCGTTCTTTTTTGCAAACTAACCCTCTTGTTTTTTTGTTTGTTTGTGTCTTTTTTCCCTTCTCTTTCCCTCTCCGGTTTCCCCTCTCGTTATGGTAGACTGATCCTTGGTTATCGTTGCAGAACTATGGCAGCGGCATGAGACCTCCGCCCAACTCCTTAGGCCCTGGCATGCCTGGAATTAACATGTAAGCTCCCTCAGCCCACACTGGGCAAAAGTGTCCATGCACTTTCAGGACCTGGGGTGCTGCCCGGCTGCCCCGGGACGTGCAGAGTGATGGATAACAGCAGAACTTTATTTTTCTGTTTCATTTTGTCCTCAGGGGGCCGGGAGCTGGCAGACCATGGCCCAACCCCAGCAGTGCTAACTCTGTGAGTATGCTCTGTCCTTGTGTTTAAGGCACAACGGCTGCTTGGGGGGCATCCCTAACATGGGACACACAGCCTAGGTGTCTGTGGGGCTTGGGGATGCTTTCCCCGGCCCTGGTTGCTAAAATCTGCTCTTCTTTCCATGTAGATCCCATACTCTTCTTCATCGCCTGGTACATATGTGGTGAGTCCTCCCAGCTCTGTGCAGGCACGGGTGAAAGTAGGGCCTGTGGGGTTGGCTTCGGGGCTGGGAGGGCATTGGGAAATGAGGGGCAGCGGGGATATTCCACAGCATTCCCCACACTCAGCGCTGCTGGGGTCCAACCAGATGGCTTTGGAGCTGCGCTCTGGGCTGCGTCGGGGCAGCGGCGTGGCTCACCCAGCTCTGTCTCTCTGCAGGGTCCTCCTGGTGGCGGCGGCCCTCCAGGGACACCCATCATGCCCAGCCCCGCAGGTAGGAGCCCACACCGCTCCCCGGGCCCTGCTCCCCCCGTGGGGCTTTGGGGGAAGCGCGGTGCCACAGCTGCAGGGGAGGAGCTGCGGCGCGGCTGCGGCTGCTCCTTCTCCTCCTGCATTTTGATGAGGAGCCCTGACCTACATTTCTGGCTGGGTCCTAACAAAACTCGCCGACCTCACAGCCAGGCCCCTTCCTCCCGGCCCCGTATTTTGGAATAACCCATATGTGTTCATGGATTCGAGGTTTCGTGGTGTAGGGTGCGTGGTGCACGTTATCTCTCTGCACATCCCCCGACAAGCGAGCCCCGTGCTTCCCAGTTAGAAGTTGAATTATTTTTTCACAGTTGAATTTCTGTGATTAAAAACTTTGTGGATCTTCATTAAATACAAATTAGCCAGAAAATGGTGGTACTTAGAGGGAATTTTAGGTGATAAAATACAAAAGAATGAGTTCAAGTGGCATGAGTTTGTTTTAATTAAGAAATGAATTAATCACCAGACTTACTGGGCTTCACTGTTCCACAGATTCAACAAATTCAAGTGACAACATCTACACAATGATTAATCCAGTACCGCCCGCAGGCAGTCGATCGAATGTAAGTCTGCTTTCTAATAATTTACATATCAGATACCATAACAAATCATAATTAACTTCATCAGTTGAGAGTAAAGCAGTTTAATTGATTTCAGCCATTTGTTACAAAACAGAAATAAAACAAACCATCAAAAAGTGATTAACTCTTCGGCGACTTTGTTAATTTTTTATGCTCATCAAGAGGGCGGCGGTCCTGCTGCTCTGGTCAAGGCGGTGGCAAGCGGCTGGGTTTGGAGGGATTCAAGCATCAACTGCCTTAATTGCTTATATATATGGAGAGAGCCCTTGGTGCTGCTATGGCCTGGGTCTGGCCAGATGTTGTAGGGGGATGTGGAGGACCACAAGCCCATGGTGTCGGCACAGTCTCTGGGTTTGGGCAAATGTTGTAGGTAGATGTGGATGAGTACAGCCCCCAGGAGTGTCCTGCAGCCTTCAGAGATGGACTCATCCATCTTATCCAGATACAGTCAGGCTGGGAGATGGGGCCCCGGCGCCACCACGGCCTGGGTGTTGCCTTTTGGCTGACAGTGTTGCTACCTTTCGGCTGACGCGGTGTTGTTGCCTTCCCTTCTGCAGTTCCCGATGGGCCCTGGCTCCGACGGCCCCATGGGTGGCATGGGTGGCATGGAGCCCCATCACATGAATGGATCGTTAGGTGAGCGCCCGCCCCGCGCCTCGGGGAGCCCCCGTGGCTGTCCTGCTGAGTGGGGTTTTTGGAGGGGAGCGGGGCTGTGGCTGCATCTTCAGTAAGGCTTTTCTTGTTTGTCCCCACCCTGCAGGGTCAGGAGACATAGATGGACTTCCAAAAGTAAGTGAGCTGCTGGGTGGCTGTGGGACCTCCCTTCCCTGGGGATGTGAGTGGAGCGGGCCGGGGTGCACGGGGACCCACTGACTGCTTACCCTGTGCTCTCGTGCAGAATTCTCCAAACAACATAAGTGGCATTAGCAATCCCCCGGGCACTCCAAGAGACGACGGGGAGCTGGGAGGCAACTTTCTCCATTCCTTCCAAAACGACAATGTGAGTCTGGGGGTGAGGATGGGTGCCCTCCATCCTTTCTGCTCTCCGTTTAGCTGTTTACAAGCAGCTCTGAGACAGAAGGTGGAGGAGGAAGAGAGGCGTGGGGCAGACATGGGTGGAAGCGAGCTTGGCTTCTCCCAGTGCAGAGAGACGTGGGGAATGGAGGTGAGGAGGCTGTGGGAGAGGCTCCCATGGGATGGCAGCCAGCTGGGACATGCAGCTCCACTCCCACCTTCTCCACTCCCCACTGCTGTCGGGAATCGCTGGGGTTCCTCCAGAGTTATGGGAGGTGAGGGTGAGACCTGCAGCCTGCTCGCAGTGCTGGGCATGGGCACAGGCGCCTCGCCTGCTTTTACTATATTAGCATTACATACATGCATACAGCTTAATTGTTTTATTTGTTCAATTGCTTCTTACCCCATACTGCTGTGGTTATTTCCTCTCTGGAAAGGCAACTTGCAGAGCAGATTATATCCTGATAAAGGAGTCTCCACCATCCTCTCTCTATCTGATTTATTCGCTCCCATTCCGTTGCCTTACAGTTTCCATGAGCCCCAGCCTCACTCTTCTGTCTCCTCTCCACTTGGAGCAGCGCGGTGCTCGGGGCTGGCGCTCACCAAGGCTTTGTCTCTCTTGCAGTATTCCCCCAGCATGACGATGAGTGTGTGATTTCCCTCCCCCTCCTCCTCTCCAGGATCAAGAGAGTCAGCTGCCGTTCGGAGGATCTCAAAGAATTATGCAAGAAGAAGCTAGGTGTATGGGCAGGGAGACGCGTGGCGGGGCCAGCACCCCAGGTTTAGTTTCATGCAATAAAAAGGCTGAACTTTTTATTCCATAAAACATGAAGGACAAAACTTAAAATATTTCAAGACATGATGACAAGATCCTTCTTTGTGCAGAAGGGTTTATATATGTACATGACACTTCTTTTTGGAAACAAATGGAAGCCTCTAGCACCCAACTCCGATCTCTTTGCTTTGTTCTTTTAAATAAAGACAGAAACAGAACCCCGTTGTATGTTTGTGCCGTGCGACACCAGGAAGCTAGTCTAGATATGAAATCTCATGTTGTCTCTGTTGTAGTCATTTTTTAAATAAACTGGACAGTTTACAATGGTGGTTTTCGTTTGGAAGGCCTGATTGGTTTTTGTTGGTTCTTTTTTTTTTGCTTCGGTTCTGTTGGTTGGTTGTTTTTTTTTTTTCCTTTTTGTTTTGGGTTCTATTTGTGTTCATTCGCAGCACAACGCTTCCTCCTCCAGTAACAAGATGAAGAGACTCCACCACCTCGTGATAGAGGCGCTCACACGGGTGGCCCCCGTAGGATCACATCCTGGGTTCGCTGTGATCTCCCTCCCCGTGGCTGTGGCATGCACTGTGTTAGTCTGTCCCCCCCCCGGAGTACGCCAAGAACTCTGTCCCTCCCTTCCTCGAGCTGGTTCGCCACCAACACCGATTTGACTTGTTAAATCCACCGAAAGAAAGGAGAACCAAAGGGCTGCTCCGCCCTGGGACTTTGAAGCTGTGATCTCAGCCAACCTCGGCTCTTTTGGGGCTTCTTTTTTTTTTGCTTTGTCTTTTTTGCTTTGTTATTCCTTTAAAGATGTGCTCTTGTCGAGGTTTCACTTCTCTGTGAGCTGGAACTGGATGGAGATCTTTTCTAAGCAGTGACTGTTGTTGCGATGTATCCTTGCTACTCTGTACTCTGTCATAAGGACGCAGCAGGAAGGGGCCCCGTGCTGGGAGGGGTGGGGGGCCGCTCGGCACCCCCTGCACTGCTCTTCGTTTTTCTCAATCTCCATTTCTGCTCCGTGTATATCATACTCTGTAAAATATTATCTCCCTGGATTGACCCTTGTGCGGATTATTGAAAGCATTGTATCTTGTTTCAGTGTTTTTTCTTACCTTGTAGTCTGGTTCTAAAATACCGAGAGGGGAAAAAAAAAAAAAAAAAAAAAAAAAAAAAAAGTAATTATTATACATTGTAGTTTGTGTACGATATTTGTTGATAATGTTTTATTAAAGGGATGTCTTTTTTCCGCACCCCTTCATTGAAATGTTTTTGGGAACATTTGGCTTGTTTTTATTATCCTGACTGCGAGACATGAGATGACGACAGAACTTTTTTTAGTGTGTAATACGAATTTTTTTAAATGTTTGCCTTCTTTTTCCTAGGCATTCATTGTGTTTTCCCTGTAGGGGTAGGGAGGGGCGGGCGGGGGCACTCATCCTTACAGTCAGCTTACTGCTTTCAAGGTAACGCTAGGAACGACCGAATGAAGATCCGTTGCGTCGCAGATACGCCCGTGGGCTCCGCAAGGGGTCCGTTTTTCTTTCTTTTTTTTCCCGCTTTTCCATCTT